AGTTGGGTGTGCAGCTCGAAGAACGCTGCATGAGCACAAACCTGATTCGCTCACTCGAGGGCCGATGTGCTTGCTTAGGTCGGACTTGCCGCACCCAGGCGCTTGCACGGTTGGTTCAAACGCGTCGCATCCATGTCAGTCCGCAGGATCATCATCTTATGAAAGTGCTCTTTCCGCCCACCCAGTTTAGCCGGTTCAACGCTGCGCGGACAGTCGTGATGTGGAGTTCTTCCTCATTTACGCAGCGGTCATCTATGATCACTGGTTCGATCGGGTGGTCAAATCCATCGTAACGGCAACTCGTAGCCGCTCGGTCTCGTCATGCTCCGTGTCGCACATTTCACTTGGACACGGCTGCACCAGAAACAAGGCTACGGGACTCCTCGGTCGTTGCGACATGCTTCCTGGAACATCGCTCTCGGGGCCTATTTAATTTTGCTGGTTCCGTGGTCAGCATACATTGCCTGGGACGTCGGCTCAAAAATTTTACTCGCAGAGACGCTGGTTTCTATTTTATGATAATTCCGAGTTCCTGCTCGAACTTCCAACCGTGGACTAAAGATGTCATGTGTGATACATGATCACTTCATCAATTCCCCCGTCAAGACAACATCAATCCAGCACCACAAAATGACGGGGGCAATCGTGTGCGAGTCGATCCTCGAAGCCAAGACCAAGAAGTTCGTCATTGCGACGTGGGGCACGAGCTACTGGCGCCTCTGCGATCGACTACTCGTGAACGCCAAGACCAAGGCCGACGTCGACGCCCGCCACCACCACGTCAAGGCGTACACGGTGATCGAAGGCTGCACTTGGCAAGGGCATGAGATGGGTTTCCGCGTAGCGACCAAGGAGGCGGGCTGGGTGCACTTTCGCGCCGGCTCCAAAGCCGAGTGGGCCAAGTGGATTCATGCTCTTTTGAGTCTTCAAACGATCAAGGTACGTGCCACGCCCACGATAAGCTCCAACTCGACGTCCACGGCGTGCGACGATGACGAGGTGCCAAGTTCGCATCTGGTTTCTTTTGCCGGTAGCGTTCGCGTGCGAGAAATTCCAACCATGACGGACGATGAAGCGCACGAGCTCTTCTACACTGATGTCGAGATTGAAGGTTTTCGTTACATGGCGGAATTGATGGGGCAGTTTAACTTCAAGCAAATACGAAGTTGAACGAGACAATATATTTACTACCATAAACGCCACTCAGTGTTACTATATTAAGGAAACGAGTGTTTTCTGCTCGCAAACGCCTCACACAAACGGGTGAGAGTCATGTTTGAGCGATGAGCATCTGCCACGTCATCCTATCCGGATGGAACCGGATAAGATCGTCAGGCATGAAACCGTGCAATCACGAAGACCCCCTCCGATGTCATCGCACGCAGCAGAGTATTGGGCCAATTGGACCATACCGCCCAACCAGACATTGCATTCTTGAGAGCAAGATCCCGAGCGCTACTAACACAGTTAAGACTAAGAACGTAGTGGCATAGTGGCGGCGTAGCGCAAAGTACAGAAATTCTAGCTTTCTAGCGACGCTTCTGAAGACAGTTCCAACGTTTAGAGGAGGTACGTGCAGCGACTGGTCATTCTCGATGCGGTTTAGTATAAATTGTGGGGGAACGATGACGCCACGAAGGCGAGTGAAAGTTCTGTACCGTCCTCCATTTAGTTGCTCACCACATCTTTTCAAGCCGCGACGCAACTAAATGGTTAGCGAGAGCCAACCATTTAGATGGTTGGGAAATGCCCACCGCGGCCAGATTATCTCGTTGGAAGACTCATTCTGATCCAAAGTAATCGGTGTCGAAAGAGCCGTGGAGCATGATGTACATAAAGAACTCCGTGACGGCAAGAGTCAATCGCGTCCTATTAATGCAAAAACAAGGCATTTGCCCAAATAGGAGCTTCAGTACATCACGACGCATACTCTTCGTCCCGTGTCAACTCCATTTCCTACAGTCTAGCTTCGTAGCGCTTATTGGACTCGTTCAACGCCTGGTTGCTTCTTGTGATGGGTGAATGCTAAGCTTGCGGCATAGCTGCTTGTGATTCAGCGAAGTGTTCTTCGCATTTGGCGGTGGTGCTCGATAGAGTTACTGTACATAGATTGCCATTTGGTCGCGTACCCGCCGCGGAAGCATCACCTTCCGTCATGGCGTCCGACTCATCATGGATCTGATCGTCGACGGCGCGGCGCTCTGGATCAGGTAAAGCTTCGGGGCGGCGTTCGTGTGAGACTTCGGCGAGGCGATCGGGCGAGGCTTCGGGAAGGCTCTCGAGGTTCACAGCTCACCTGGATTCGGCATCCGTTGCAGATCCACGTGCTATTCATGTTGCCCACGAATGCCTCGACGGGATAGAAGTTGCGGTCCTTGCTGCAACCAAGAAAGCTGACCTTGTAGCCATGGCACTTTTTTCAAATGACGGAGTGCATAGTTCGGCCCAGGGCTAACTTGATAGATTGACAGGAGTACTTATCCGGATCCGGATCACTTCGGAAACTTTCGAATGACATCCCATCGTTATCTTTGGCTGAGTGTGGTGGTAAAGACGCTCTCACCGCCTCTGGCGCGAGCCATTGCACGAAGCGACGTAGAGTTGTCGTGTCCACTTGAACCTTGAGCCCGTAGCTGAATCGGGTGCCAGTCACACGCGGTGTGCAGGACCTAAACACAGCGATGATGTCGTGCCGCCACTAGACGCTAAGCTTAACGCTAGTGCAAAATGCCACAAGGCAGCGGCACTCAGCGCGCTGTGACTTGCAGTGCAGCGCACAATTGAGCGTCGCGTACTTGAAGTTACAGTCCTTCGACAATGAACTTGCTTAAGGTCGAGCGAAGTCGTAAAAGACAGCTCACTGCGCACGATACCCTACCACCGATTGTCATCGAGCGAGACGTGCAAGACTTGGCTTGACATCGCCACCAGCAGTACGAGGCACCGAACGCCTCGAGTTGCGCAGCCAGCGGAAGCGGTTTCGTACCAAAGAAGGCAGCAACTTTCATGTGCAACGCCCTGCATTGGACGGGACACCGTCGCGATCCGCCAGCGAATGTTGCCCAAAACATGATTGACTGCTTACGTGGCACAAGCGTATTCAATTCAAAAAAAGAGAATATTTCGTTGTGTTGACGACAACCCGCGGTATCGTGGCGCCCAAACACACCAACAACGAGGCAAAATCGCGGTGTTTTCATCCCACCCCACAAGACTCAGTGATGTGAACCGGCAGAGTGGGTTGGGTGGTGCGTTGATGGGTCCCTCAGGGCGTCCGTCATACAAGGATTTTTCACGTCGATGGTATTTTTGCACGCAGTGGCAGAAAAGAGCCAACTCTGGTAAAGACCAGCCGCCCCCAACAAACACAAACGCATTACTCTCGACTCTGCGATCGATAGGGCCACTAAATACTACGAGACCTTGTAGGTGCCTTCGCGTGGCAGAGGTATACAGCGATTTCGGCCAAGTGAGATCCGTTGTGAGATGCGTTGCGTTGGCTCCACCACGAGCTGTATGCCAATTTTACAGTTCGATCCCTCCCTAGGGCGGAACGTAAGAGGTCTGGCACTCGTAAAGGTACAAGAAGAATTGGGTGCATGCTCACGTCAGTGCATCTCACGAGCTATCACACGCACTCAAGTGTGGGATGCAGCCGACGTTCCGCTCCTGTACTTCAAAGTGTAATGAGATATGTCGTGGGCCGGCCAATTGGGCCGGCCCTACGACGCCAGCTACTGCAACGAGGCATAGCCAACGCCATTGGAAATACGCATTTGCGACGATGTTGTCGATTACGATGAGTTTCTTTGTGTGCGGGCGACGCACACGCATGCGGAGCATGCCGATCTATGCTTCGTGCAAGCGTACAGCGTTTACACTACATTACGGCATGATACGAATCCATCAAACCAACGAATGTACGAGTCGCGACGAAGCGACGAGAATGCAAACTGGAAGCGTGACGCGCCATGGGCTCAAACTTGAAGCTCTGATGATTTTTTACAGAGGAGACAACCCGTGCTTGGAAACATGATGCATTGGGCGAAAGTTGATCGTCGTGGACGCGGATAGGAGTGGCAACTGAGCTGCAGAGCGCACATGTTCCTTTCAGAAAAGCGCGTCAACGATGTCGTGGCGTTCCAAGGATCTTTTCGCAGTGCATCCTTGAACTTCCGTGGAATTAAAAAAGTCCCCTTTTACGTCCAACGCGAAGCCGGCATACAAAGACGCTGTACACTCTACATAAACACGCAATTTTGGGTCGCTATTTATTTTCTTTTTGAGTTTGGTCCCAGCAGCTGGATTCGCACACACCAATTGCTGAATCAGGGCGCAGTGTTTTAAAACATCCTACGATTTGTATGCCAGTGCAAATAAAATGAAAAAATGAAACTCAACGCACAAACGCGAGCCGAATCTCACTGGTGGGACCGGCATCTGCCAAGTCGACATCCGTGCATGACACACAGCAATCAGTATAGCATGAAGTACGATGCCATCCTCTGCGCGTCGCCCGTCGACATCAAGGCCAAGAAGTGCATGCTCTCCTACTGGAAGGTCCGCTTCTGGGTCCTCCGCAACGGCGAGCTCCTCGAGGCCGCCTCCCAGCACGACATCGAGCGCCGCCACAAGGTCACTCGGTACACCGTCCTTCGCGGCGCTAAGTGGCTCGAGCGCCCGTACGGCATCCAAGTCGAGACCAAGGAGGCCGGCTGGCTCTACGCCAACATCGCGATGAAGGCCACGTGGGCCATGTGGATCCACGGGCTCCTGCTCCTCGACCTCGTGTACGGTCCAAAGGGCAGCGTCTCGTCCTACGACCCCTCGTGCCCGTCCGAAGACGACCTTGAAGCAACACCGGGCCCGCGAGTACGCCATGTCGCCTTCTCGGGTCAAGTCCGCGTGCGCAAGATCCCGGCGCTCACCGACGAAGAGGCCATGGACCTCTTCTACACCAAGTCCGAAATGGAAGCGTTCAAGGGCAGCGTGACGACGCTAAAGAGCTTCACGGTCGTCATGGTCTAGTGCCCACTCCGCTATATTATTCCGCGGCCATTGCCGTCGCTTAGGTTCTAGTTGCATTGCTTTAAGCACACCCTCTTATGTATTGTGCGCAAAGCTGGCCTCTTGCCAGCTTTGCGCGTCGTTTTCATATTTTTCATTTCGCCTTCCACAGAACAAACCGCGGACTTGGCGCGATCAAGAACAGTCGTCTTTGTCGGTCCGCGCGACT